GGCCGCTCTCGAGGGTAAGCCCGCGCCCCGCCGCCCTCCCGGATCCGGACCCGGGACCCTCGTCCTTCACTCCAGCCTGGGTCCCCTCGTCCCCGCCGGCCCCCGCCTCCCGGATCGCTGTCCTTGTTCTTGGTCCCCGCTGCCCTCCCCAGCCCGGGACTATCCCTCGTCCCCGCCTCCCAGACCGTGACCCTGGTCCCCGACATCCTCCCATTTCCCGGACCGCGACCCTCGTTGCCCTGTCCCCGCTGCCCTCCTAGGCCAGCCCAGGACCTTCGTCCTCCCCGTTCCCCTGCTACCTCGTCCGGGTCCCTGGGGGCGGCCTGCCCGGGGGCAGGTCACAGTCACCTTGGCGGGTCTCCCAGCGGAGGCGCGGGCACCGGAACCTGGAGACTGAGTTCTGGGCCATCAGATGCCACATGGGGGGTGGGGTGGGGAGGGTGTCTGAGGACTACCTAGAAGGGCAGCCTGGACCCTTGACCCACTCTTTGACCTTGGGGACAAACTTGGGGCTGGAGAGATGGGGAGAGATCTGGAACTGTATCAGCGGAAATCAGAGTCACCAAAGCTGCAGACCCCGAGGGGCCGGTACCCTGAGGGGGGCGATGGTGTGATGGAGCCTATGAGGAGGGGAGAGGGAGAAGCCACATGGGTTCTTCTGGCAAGGTCACAGTCCCACCCACCCTTGCAGTCAGACTGGCCCAGGGACGACCCTGGCTGGCCAAGAAGCAGTCACTGAGTGGAAAATAGAGGTCAAGTTCCTAAGTTCCTACAGGAGAAGGGGTTGTCAACCTGGAGGTGCGTGGTGGGGGGCAGTGGGAGATGCTGGCGTTGGAAGGAGGGGAGGCAGGTTCTTGGCTGCGGCTCAGGTGCCCCTTGTACCCGAGTCCAGGGGCCGAGGACCTCCGCAGCATTACCGGGGAGCCCAGAGCCCGGATCGCCTAAGTTGGGGAGGGGGTGTCAGGAAGGAGGACTTCCTAGAGGAGGTGTGGAGAGGACTTGGCTGAAGGAGCAACGTGTTTAGGGGCCAGGTGGCCTGAGCCAGCGTGCACCTTGTGGGGAACTGACCCTAGGATACTTTGATGGGGTGGGGTAAGTGGAGACGAGTCTGGGGGGAAGGGCCCAGATCAGGAGGGCCACATAGGCCTTGCCGAAGTTTGGAATTTGTTCTGAAGGTGCTTTGAGGGCTTTTAAACCTGGGCGAGAGGTGGGTTTGCCCAGTGGTGTGGTCCAGAGAGAGTCCCTGGGTGGCACAAACAGTTAAGTGATCGACTACTAACCTTAAGGTTGACGGTTCGAATCCACCCAGATGTGCCTTGGAAGAAAGGCGTAGCAATCTACTTCCAAAACGTCACAGCCTTGAAAACCCTACGGAACAGTTCTACTCTGTACACATGGGGTCAGAATCGACTCCACAGCAACTGGTTTGGTGTGGCCTGGAGCGATCAGACCCAGGGTGCGGCAATGTCCGGGGAGGGACATGCCAGCGTTGTCATGAAGGCAGGTTGTGGGCCACTGAGGAGGGGAATACGGACTCAGTGATGTCAGCGCTTGGCCCAAAGGCTGGTGGGCTGGGGCTGTGCCTGTGCAGACGAGGAGGAGAGGCTGGTAGACTTGAGGAGACTTGGAACTGAGGAGCCAAGATGCCGTGTCAAGGAGTAGAAGGGTGTGCAGAGGAGCTTTGGGTTCAGCAGGCTGGGTGGAATGAAGGTGGACAAGCCTCGGCTCTGACCTGGGCTCCAGGTGCATTGTTGGGTTTGCCCTGTGTCCTCGGGTGTCCCTCCCACCAGATATCTCTTGATGCTGCTCACTCCTCACGCTGCATTTGTCCTTCATTCATTCGTTTGTTCTTTGTCCCGAAGGGCCTGTCAGCGTGGCAGTGGTTAGGGCTTCCGGGAAGAGAAGGCTATTGTGGGATGCACGGCTTCTATTGGAGCACCTCCTGCTGGCCGCTTCCTGCTGTGGCTCTGGCCCCTTGCCCTCCTGCGCCCAGTGTGGTGGGCTGACCACCCGCCTCCACTCAGGCTGAGGACGGGCTCTCAGGGCCCTGGATCTTCTAGCCTCTGCAGACCTCAACCAACTCCCACGCTTAACGCCTACCTGTGGCCCAGCCTGGTCTCACCTGTCCTGTCCTCGCGCTGGGCTCATGCCATCTCTGGCCCCCTCACCCCACCCCCTGACCTTCCCTCCAGAGACTCCACCTTGAGAGCCTGTGGTCCTTGGGGGTGCAGCATCTGGGCCCAGCGACTTTCCACAGGCGTTTTAGGATCTGAAGTCTGAGACCCTGGTCCTGCCCTCTGCTAGCTCCGTGTGTGCCTCCTGAAGGTCCCCACCCCCCATCTCCTGTGGGGGACCCAAGGGGAGCTTGGAACCGGGCTGGACCCAGGTAGCTGCTGTCGGCCCCGTGCTGGCCTTTGCTCTCACCCCCACATTTTTCCATTCTTTCCTTCTTCCAGCAAACATTTCTCGAGTGCCGACGTGCCAGGCACATGTGTGGTGCAGGGACGCCCTGCCTTCCCAGAGCTTTCAGGGTGGAGCTGAGACAGCCCAGGTGCAGATACAGTGTGTGGAGTCAGGCCAGCCCATGCCGGGTCCCTCACAGCCACAGGCTAGCAGGGGTGCCCTTGTTTGAGCCTTGGATTCCCTGCCTGTTAGGTCTCCCTGCCTGTTAGGTCTCCCTGCCTGTTAGGTCTGGGAGTGACTCTTGCCCCTCAGGGCTGTGGCTGTGGCTGTGGTCAGTCCCTTCCCAGCACCCTGGGCTTCTTGGTGTCTGCAGCCCTTGTGGGGATGCGGTGACGAACTGCCTCACGGAATCCTTTGGCTCTTGGTCTGTCTACCTTGAGTCTGTCCCCTGCACCAAACTACTTGTTGTCAACTGCCGTCCGACTCATCGTGACCCCGTGCACAACAGAAAGAAATGCAGCCTGGTCCTGCGCCATGCCCAACATTGGTTGCGGGATCAGACCGTTATGGTCCATAGGGTTTTCATTGGCTGGTTTTCAGAAGTAGATCACCAGGTCTTTTTTCCTGGTCTGTCTTAGTCTGGAAGTTCTGCTGAAACCAGTTCAGCATCACAGCAACACACAAGCCTCCACCGACAGATGGGTGGTGGCTGTGCATGAGGTGCATTGGCCGGGAATTAAACGCTAGTCTCCCACGTGGAAGGCGAGAATTCTGCTACTGAACTGTGGATGTCCCCTAATTAGTCCCATGATTAGCCTGGTCCATAGGCCTGCGGAACTCTGTTGATGGGGGAGGGCTGCCAGTTCTGGGGACTGGGGGTTTTGCAGGGCCTCCTTAGCTAAGCACCTGTCTTGAGAGATGCCCTGGCCATTCCCAGCTGAGGAGCACACCCAGAAGCCCAAGCACCATTATTTCTACACACCAACCATTTATTGAGCACCTACTGTGTGCTCGAACAATTGTTATCTCCTTTAACCCTTATATTTGCCCTCACAGGGTGTTGGAGTGTTATACCCATTTTGTAGATGAGTAAACTGAGATGCAGAGAGGCTGAGTGTCTCACCCGAGGACGCCTCTTGGTTGCTAACACGTGAAGCCCTTTTGTAGGATTTGCCACAAGGGTCCTCTGATGTGAAAACTTGTACCCTTTCCTGTGCCAACCAAGGATGACTGGCTTGCGGGGGCGGTCACTGGAGATCATCAAATTGTGTTTCAAACGTTCAGAGCAACTTCCCCTCCCCTTGATCCTCAGACACCCGGTCACCTTCAGGGTAGACTTTCTCCTTCCTCACGGATTAAGTGAACTGGAGAGCTTCTTAAATCATAAAGTTGGGACTAGAGCCCAGGTCTTTAAGAACAATTAACTTTATAAATAGAAAGCCAGACAGAAGTTCTTGATCAGTTCTTCTCTCTGTAGTTATTAACCTCTTCTTCCACCTCCAGCCTCAGGTAAGGGCTAGAAAAGGTGACCCAGAGCTCCCGCCTGGGTTCAGGACAGCCTGGGGGGTGACTCAGGATGGGGCTATTTCTGGCTTGGGGGGGGAGCGTGCATAGCCCAGGGTATAGATTTTCAGTGAGCACCGAGTCTGAATTTTTAATGTTGAAAGTTTCTTGATGAGGTATAAACCCACAACTTCCCAAACAAAACCACACACGAACCTTTTAAACATTTCAAGATTACCAGACTCCCCACTGGATGGTTTTTAATAGCTGGGATTCTGCTTGCCAGGCTGTGCACCTGACAATTTATAAACGTCAGCTGTGCGTCTTTTGGGGATGTTGGGAGATTTGTCTGGGCTTGGGAGTCAGATTTAGTTGTTCCCTCTAATGTTAACTTAAACCATACATACATATGTTGTTGTTAGGTGCCGTCCAGTCGGTTCCGACTCTTAGCCACCCTGTGTACTACAGAACGAAACACTGCCCAGTCCTGTGCTGTACTCACAATCGTTGTTATACTTGAGCCCATTGTTGCAGCCACTGTGTCAGGCCACCTCCTTGAGGGTCTTCCTCTTCTTTAATGACCCTTTACTTTACCAAGCATGATGTCCTCCTCCAGGGACTGATCCCTCCTGATAACATGTCCAAAGTATGTAAGACATAGTCTCATCATCCTTGCTTCTAAGGAGCATTCTGGTTGTACTTCTTCCAAGACACATATACATACACATATATATGCAAAAATAAACTTCACTTCTAAACTCCCTCTAATAAGGACCACTGCAAAGTAGAAATGCTTGTTGGGTTGGATGTTGGGTTGAATGATCTAGCCCAGTGATCTTCTTCTCTTTGAGCACTGGCACTGAGCAGTGAGTGGGGACCCTCTGTCCCCTTGTGTCTCCTTGGTCCACACTGCAGCATAGAGAATTACCCCCATGAAAGAATGAAGAGTCTCCCTCTGTTCTGGTGATGTTGAAGACAAATGGACAGACACCCCTCGTCCCGGAGAGCAGGTGCGTGTCCACGTGGACTTTCCCACAAGCTCAGTTGAGTTTAGGGCTGAACAAGGATATTGTCATTCAGGGTGGCCAAGTTTCCCTCATACTTTTTGAGGACCACTGGTGGCTTTGTAACTTTCCAGGCAATAGCTCGTCTATTATAGGGAATCTAGAGGTGAGTAAAGGCCAGTCCTTACCCTAAAGGAACAAGCCTCTGGGTCAGCAATAATCATGATGGCAAGTAGCTAACATTTGTAGAGCGTGTCCCATGCCAGACAGTGGATTTGTGTCCCCCCAAAAGATGTGTTCAAGTCCTAACCCCTGGTACCTCTGAATGTGACCTCATTTGGGAATAGCATCTTTGTGATGTAAAATTAGTTAACATGAGGTCACACTGGAGTAGGGTGGGCCCTAATCCAAAATGACCAGTGTCCTTGTAAGAAGAGAAGAGACACAGAGACAGACACAGAGGGAAGATGGCCATGTGAAGACAGAGGCAGAGATTGGAGTGATGCTGCCACAAGCCAGGGATTGCCAGGAACCACCAGAAGCTGGAAGATACAAGGAAGGCTCTTCCCCCAGAGCCTTCAGAGAGAGCATGGCCCTGTTCACACCCTGAATTCAGGCTTCGAGCCTCAGAGCTGTGGGACAATAAGTTCTTGATGTTTTAAGCCGTGTAGTTTCTGAAAATTTGTTTCAGCAGCCCC